TTTGTATTTAATAAATTTTTTATGCCGAAAAAATAAATACGAGTGAAAAAAGTGTTTATTCTTCACAATTAAAATACGGAGATAATATCAGAGATTGTTAATTCGTATGATTTAGTTATATGAACAATATTATGAATTTCATGGCATATTTTATAAATCCTTTAGACTAATGGAAATATTGAACATAATTTTTATAAACTGTAAATACATTAGTCATGATATTCAATATTTTCAGAATTACATACATATATGAAAATATAATTCATATATAAAAACATTTTTATGAGGAAGAATAACAAATACATAGAGTATATGTTATTAATACAATTATATTTAGTTATTGTATTCGTAAATATTATAAATTATATCAAGATATTTTAGTATTTTGCTGATTAATACGGAAATTTATAATTAAACTAACAGTAACGGGGTTCATTTAAGCACAATGGGAAATACTTATTAAATTTAATTTAGTTAATTAATCTATTGCATTTAATGTATGATTAAATATAATGTAATAACGTAATAATGTAATAATGTAATAATGAAAAATTGTACTATATATATGTATAGCTACTATAGCGTAGGTAACGGAAGAATAATATTTATATTAACAGTAATAAATCATAATTTCATCGACTAAATAATTTTCATTTAAATCAATAATTACAGTGATCGTGCAGATAAATTTGGTATATACGCGAGCTTGTAATAGTAATTGACTTTGATGTTAATTGTTTTAAATATTTTACATTCTTTCAATAATTTTGTCACTGGTGTAGTAATTATTATCTATATTAAGTTATTGCAATGTAAATTTATTAATTCATAATTAATCTATATTATGAGCCGACGAATAATATACGGTTATATGCTGTTTGCTAATTATGGAAATTTTATTATTATTTTTATAATCGAGATTTTTTTCACGTATAAGATAATTTGCAAAATTACATTTTAATTCGTGATAATAAACGACGAGTGCAATTAACCAGATATTAGAGTACTACTTAATAATCAAGTAATCAACTCTTTTCTAGAAAATATGAACGCTTACTATTAATAATTTATCATCTATTATAAAATACAAATAACGTAATTACTTGCATGCTGTACATCTGTTATTAACTAACAATGAATAACGAATATTAATTGGTGATATTTTCTCTAAAGAATTTAAAAATACGAATTTAGTCAGAATATATTTGGTTTTAGAAAACATTTGGAATGTTTTGGGGAAAAGATTCATCATTTATAAACTCTGTTTAAAAATTTATCTATTTAAAAAAAAAAAAAAAAAAAAAAAAAAAAATTATACCCCATTACGTATCATAAACAACCTGTTTTGTTTGTAAAGATTACAAAATACAATTGGACGCTCAAGTATGATATTTTTACATCTCAAATTCGTGAAATAACATTTAAGTCACTTTTTACTTCAATATTACAAATAATATTTTAAAATATTATAATTTATAATTTTTTAATACAGCATAAGTATTTATGTATTAGACTGAGTGTATAAAAGCTGCTATTGCGTTATTGCTAAGTTAGGAAAGTTTTGATATTTAGAAATCATAGAAAAATATATGATTTCCCAAATAGTTTAGTCAATATTCAATTAATAATAGTTTAATAAGCTTCCTAATCATGAGAAATTAATATGAAATTTAAATTACATTCTTAAATCTAACGATACCTATGATTACTATTGATTACCTGGTAAAATGACATTCTAGCTAATATTACAGAATAATCAGTAAAAATGATTTCTTCGTATAATGGAATTGATCGATTAAGATATTAAAGTCCATTGAATATCTAATAATTTGATCATCTCCGTTCTGTAAATTTCAAATTACAGATTAATTTCTATACAAAAAAGTAATACATCGAATCACTTATAAAATTAATCCCTACACACTACAATTTATAGTGAACAATTCTTCTAACAAAAAAGATCACCAGTAGTATGATGAAAAAGTATTATTTTATTTTGTACAAATTGTACATTCGCAATTAACATTTTTATTACACTAGTAAATTTATAAATTTACACGAATCTTAGGTAAAAAGGCAAGAAATGTAATAAATGTATGCGTAACAGAATACATTTAACTATTTTAAATTAAAATATGATTTATTATACATAATCTCACATCTTGATAATGTTTGAAGATGACAAAGATTTATATTTACCTGATTAATGGAATCTTTTAGTCAATTAATTACTCGCTTCTCGTGAAATAAATAAAATAAAATAAAAAATGATATGCCACACAGTTTATCGATAAATAGATTATAATAAAGTTAATTAGATAAATTTTTACTCCTCGTTGTTTAAGAATTTCGTCATTTTATGGACTTCTTCTTGGTGTTTGTAAGAGTATTGTTTTAATAGAAAAGCAGAATGACTTTGATAATTCCTTCTTATTCAATATAATAAAGTTGTTGCTGTTGCATCGCGAGTGTATAAAAATCATGTTCTTATCAATACATTAAATGAATTGTGCATTTTCAAGACAACGGAAGATCAGCGAATTCGCTATTTAAAATTATGCAATATTAATGATAAAGTTGAGTTTTAGTGAAATTTGGTCTGCCGAATGCAGGGATGAACAATGTCAATTTAAAAATCAGAACGACCAAGGCACTCTCAGCCGTACAAAACTTCTTTACTGCACACCCACGCGTTCACAATTATTCGTCTCGCGAATTACTGCGCCGCAAAAGATCTGGGCTTCTGCCAACCGACAACCATTACACCCAACCGATATCGATAATCCGCAATTTATGCTTACGAGAGATGATCGATTGTATGAATGTGCCGGGTCCGTCGACGCGCGCAGCAGTGAAACACAAAGGGGTCGCTTATACGCGAAACAAACAGGTGATAAAGCAGTGGCGCCTCTTTTTTCTCCGTCGGCTCTTTCATCGTGCACGTGGGTCGCGAGTAAGAGGTACGTGGATGGAGGATCGTTTATCCAATGAACACTCGATTTCTCGGGCTTGAATTATTTACGATGTGCGCGCCGTGCAATCGTCGCGAATAGTGAAGATATATTTTCAGTTTATTCTCTTATTCTGAATAGGACACGTGTATTTACCTGCTTGCTTACGCACTTTCTTACAATATTCAGGTGCTCGATTAGAAAAAGTGCTTAAAAGTGTTGAAAGGCCCTTCAACTAAATAATTATTAAGATCGCCGCTCTCATCTTGGTTCACATTGGGCGCAACCAAATACGTCCAAGTAAACGTAATACATTTGCCTCGCATTTCTTGTTAGTTTGATGAATAGTAAATTTATTTTTCCGATGGCTTAATAACAAAATACCATTTCACATGTAATTAAGGTAATTTTATACCGACGTTTTCTTATAAATAAAGCAAGTTAATCTGATAATATGACAATGAAATGCTAATGTATTTAAGATCTTTTTGTTCAATTAGTTATACTTTATTTATAAGTTATACACATGGTATAATAGGAAAGACATTGTTTGCATTATTAAGTTCATTGTTTAAAATTATTATTAAATCTTAAGATATTATTGTCATACCGATTATACATTTTAAATCAATTTAATTATTATTTCGCGACCTATAACAATAAATATGTTATCATTATTATTATTGCAATTACTTTTTACACATTAAACATAACTTGTTATTTCATTATTTATTAATCTTTCAAATTAATTAGGCTGGTAATATGATCGGGAAATACCAGTTTATGCATGTTTAGTTATTAATATGAATTGCACCTTTTTTTTTTTTTATTAAACGTAAAAAACTTGATACGAATCTATTAAAAATAGACAAAATTTCCGCAAGCAATAGTTTAACAAATAATTCTCAGTATTAGATAATGATCTGTAAATTTATTACTTAATTTCTTTTTAACAATCGACGAATACCATTTTTTATCTATTATATGCACTACATTTTTATCACAATTTGAAGCTGTGCTTATCAAAGCCTTAATATATTAAAATGATAATATTATCTTGCGCTTATTGTAATAAAAATATGTACAATTAGCTACTTACTTATCTATCAACAAACTCAACATTAATGACAATTTTAATTGCAGCAATAATTTATTTAACGAATTTATTTTGAGTACTAAGTTTTAAAAAAATCTTTTCACTCTGTTTACTATTTAAACAATTTATGTATAATTAACTTAAGTATTGATACTCTTGATTATAACATTATTGAAGAAAAATAGTTAGAATAGTCATAAAGAAATTGAAAATCTTGATGTATAATAAGATTATTATTTAACTTTATGAGAAAGATAGGTTTCAAAATAGGCGAGCCGGTGTTTTTATAAATCAATAATCCATCGGTTTAAAAATGCCTTGGAAGAAATTAATTTTAATTTGGCGATATAGTAGTCCATATTCTTATTCGTAAATGTAAAACGCAACATTCAATTATTTCTTTCTCTTTGTGTAATATTAAAAACCGATTGTCTACATCTTCTCGTGCAAATGTAACTTATCTGAGAATCCATTCTTATTAAAACTCTAACTATAAATTTAAAAGCCAGGAGCTTAGCTTCATACTTAGGGTCGTATAAATTGTTGGTTAGCTCAAGTGACTTTTCCAGTGATGGTAAAAATGTTATTTTTCTATTAAACAGCTAGATTTGAAAGAATAGAAAATTTTAAGAATTGAAAATTTGATTGAACAAAACGTCTCTTTTAACCTTGACGTCTTATCATTTAGCGTTTGAAATTGCAATATGTCTCGCGTAGTTTAAGCAGATACATTTTAAATTAGTAATATTGAAATAAAATAATACCAAGTTCAGAGGCTGAATAGCGGATCTGTTGATCCTCATTGCAAGGAGCGACGTCCAACACCGACACTCAAAGACGTCAGTCGGATGTCTAAATTAACATTTGTCGTTGTTTTCAGCAGCAGCAGCAACAGCAGCAACAGCAGCAACAGCAGCAACAGCAGCAACAGCAACAGCAGCAACAGCAACAGCAACGTAATTATAACTAGAGCGACATGACTTTGACGATGGATAAGAAGAAGGCGGAGGAGGGAGGCGAGAATCGACCAAGGATCGAGACCTTCGACGACATACTGCCGTATATTGGTGAAGCCGGCAGGTATCAGTGGTTCCTCTTCGTCATCCTACTGCCCTTTACCTTCGTCTACGCCTTCCTGTACTTCGCCCAGTTCTTCATTACCCTAATACCGGAGGAATATTGGTGCACGGTGCCCGAGTTCGCCAATACCAATCTCACGGACTTCGAGAAGTAAGTAGACGTTCTTCCGCTTCCTTATTTTCGCGTATCTCGTCCGTTTTAAACGCTAATGGGACGTAGTAATGGCCACGTGTTTCCAGAAATTTATCCTTAGAAAAACGACACTCGGTGATTCAGTAGTTACTTGAGCGCGTAAAACGTCGTTCTCTCTAGTTCAACAAACGAGTCATGCGCGCTAATTAGCCGGCCCGCAATTATTCCTTGTACTGTTATTCTTTCGTAAATTGTAATGCCCGTTAATTATATTAATGCTTTTATCTTTGTAAAATCTTTCGAGCCGCTTTATGCCGAAGCTAGCTAATATAATATAAAAATTTTCTAATCTCTCTCGCCAATTCTCAACCGAGTAGATTTTTTTTTTTTTTTTTTCTTATTACTTCAAAATTAGCTGTTACGGCTAGCAGTAATAAACAGTTTTTTATTATTTTATATGAATTACCGTGTGTCGAAACTTCTGCAGCTGCAGATGCGTATCTTAAAGAGTTTCGCAAAAAAAGAAAGAGAGAGAAAAAAAAATGGTTAAAAACTCATGCGTACCGTAAGTAAGCTCAAGGAGATTAAAAATTACTTGCAGTACACGAGCTGCGTTACAAGAAAAGCAGAATTATAAATTGACGGTCCTAAGAAGGAGTAAAACCAGAACAACGGGTGAAAAAGAGAAAACAAACGGTTTGCGCAAAATTCTCTTAAAGCGTTTGGTTTTTTGTCGACAGAAGCGTGCCTCGTAAGAAACAGGCCGCGGCTCTGGTTTATTGGATGAAAGAAAAAATAAATATATAATGAATGGACATGCAAAAGCAGTGACATTCGCGGTAGCGCTTGGCCAAGTAAAGTACCCACGTACGCGAACAATTCCATTGGATTATCGTATTATCAGCGCGAGTAAAGGGAAAAAAACCAAACAATGTGCGCTCATGGAAATGGGCAAAAAGCGGCTGATAACCTTTGCGTCACTGTGCTCACGGGCGATCAGCTGTTATTTATATTCTGGGATAATGAGAAAATTGAGCTTGGCAACGAAGAAAAAACATAATAATAATAATAATAATAATAAACCACGGGCTCGCTAAAGTACGTGGAACACGCGCAGCAGACATAACTTGGCACGTAGACACTTTGTGCGTGCACCAGCATTGTGGAAAAAATTTAATTAAATATGTGTCAATAGCGAATATTCGTGCGAGCCAGTGCTCGTTAAAAGTCGGATATTTTCGTGAATTTGATATTAAAAAAAAAAAAAAAAAAAATAAGAAAAAGAAATTGATATTAATAAAAGTGAAAATTTGTATTTTAAACGTTTAATTATTGATGCATCATTCTCATGAATATTTAAGATTAGATAATAGGTCTCTTAGATTATATAATAATAATAATAATAATAATAATAATAATAATAACAATAACAATAACAATAACAATAACAATAACAATAACAATAACAATAACAATAACAATAACAATAACAATAACAATAATAATAACAATAATAATAATAATAAGTTAAAAACAAACAAAGAAAGAATAAAAACACATATTTAATAGCACTGCTAATGTTATTGTTGTATGGGTAGTAAGAAAAATTTTTGTTTGAATATTTAAATTTAATTTAAATGCATCTCTTAAGAAACAACAAGGCTTATTATTAATATTGTTTAAAAATGATACTAAGACCGATGTGATTGGAAAGTATATTTACTGTTTGTGAAAAATAAATTGTTACGTGACGATGATGCGAATTTACCTCTTTATCTTTCTAATGATAAAGACCGTACAAATACAAATCTATTTTAAGTAAATCAAATATGCATGAAATGTATGAGAAGGTAAGCTTTACTTTCATCTTTTGATTGTCTCATTCAGTTAGTGAGTTAAATAGTATCACAGATCGTTACTTCAACACTCGCAATCGTTATAAGTTCCTTCATTCTAAGAAAATAATTCATCTTAATCGATGATCAACTTAACAGATTTTATGTCGTACGTGATTCTATACCGTAAAGTTTTCAAGTTTTTAAAAGTATCTATGATAAATTAATTTAATGATATAACATTGATTCCCATGCACCCATCGATATACACTGTATTGAAATGGAACGCCCGGCTATACGAATTCATTCAAATGACATCGAATTATTATCGCAACGCTTAATACATCGCCTTACATTATCATCTCTGCTTTAATTACAATCGGCCCTTAGAAAGATTTTTATTTATCCGGCAATTGCAATAGAACAACATTTTTTTACAATATTTTTTTCACCATTGGTTAATAATTACCACCACCACGCCATGGCGCCTCATAAAACGTTAATGGCAATCGATGAGGTCCGACAAGCTTAGACAAACAAGATTACAATAAAGATATTGCCTTCCTCTCTGTCTCGCAGGATAGCACTGTCGGTGCCACCAATACCAAAAGAAGAGAAAAGCAGCGAGAGCCACACGGCCTACTCGAGATGCACCATGTACATAACAAATTATACGCAAGTCCTGCAATCGGGTCGCAAGACGGCTGATGCCGACTGGGCGATTGGACATTGTCAGCATGGCTGGACCTTCAATCAGACCAACATTCCTTATCTCTCAATTGCCGCTGAGGTAGGCTTATCCATGCGATCGTTGCGATTTTCTCGCCGGATGCGTAGCTTCGTGATTAGAGGAGGGACGAGCGGACGCGCGAGGTGGGGCTGTGACGGGATGATTGGGCGGGACCGACGGCTATCAAATATCACAATGCAATGCTAACGGGAGCGTAATAGCTTTTCTTAGTCGATTAAGACAATCACTTTATCCGTCCATTGATATATCGAGAGCGGAGAGATAATTTTTTTCCAACGCGTCTCCGTCGCTCTGGCCTCAAAAGCCAGCCTCTCGGTTATCCCCTTTCAAAATGCACTTTTATCTTAGTTCCGCGAAGGACGGTAAGAATTCTACGTACTCTAATGACGACGGACGTGAATAAAAATCATAGTCCCGTGTAATGCTATAATTTATAAATTGTACGCTTAAATGGAAATCAAAGCGTAATTTGCTTATGTTAAAAGACCACCACCCGTTCCATTTAATTATTACAATATTACACCCGAAGGATTTTCAAGCATCGGTTTATAGGCTTTTATTCGCTTTTGTCAATGCTATATTCAATATAAATATTATTTAAGTGCGATTTTTTTTTTTTTTTTTAATCAGAGCCGCCGTTGAATCATACAAGTACGTTAATATAATAGAAATTAACGACTCGCATAAAGGCTGCGCGTCTAAATAATTTAATATATCATTTTCCATATTTGTAAATTTAACGATCGTAAAGACCTTTCAATATTCTATATTATATATCGACGATTATATTATAAATCACGTGTTTATGCATTTGTTGGATTATTATGCGAAATAAAGTGAATCGTCAAATTTTGCGAAATTACATGTTGAATCTTTATATCGATCTAAAGTATTCTCCTTTATAAAATAATTGAGGACTGCTTTGAACTTGAAATTATCGTAAGATCGCCGTTTCGTTAATCTTTTAATAATCTTCGATAATTATCTACGCATCATTATGATTTTAATCGTGTAAATTACTTTCGTGCAATAGCCAAGACCAAATGAGATATTTACAAAGCAAATTGTACCTTATAGATACACTTGTAGATAATTATAATACTTGTTTCGCTGATGTAACACAATTATTATTATTATTATTATACATCTGCTACAATATATATATATATATATATATATATATATATATATATATATATATATAATATCGGAAGTCTTAAAAAGATAAACATTTCCTATCCAAGAGATGATTTGCATTTGTTCATCGTACTATAAATCATTTGTAATTAAATGGAAAATGAATTTTATAGGACATTTTTATTGATTTTTTTTTTTTTTTTTTTTAATAATAAAAATCTTATTAAAAGGATGAATTTTTACAGCAGAGCTATACATGTCAAATATAATATGTGACATAACCAATTTAAATACTTGATACTAATTTCATTGAAGACGAAATTGAATTCCTATTATTCGGGATATATATATATATATATATATATATATTCTGCAGTATCTTTATATTCTAATTAAAATCAGTGTTCGATAAGATTTCGAAAGTTGTAACAAACAAAGTTGTAATATACAATTTGAGTGAAGCTGATGGAGAGCCAACGAATATCTTTATATTTTGAAACGACGTAATACAACTTTTATAGAATATAACCGTGGAAATGACAGCACTACGAGATATGAATCTTTTCATTCGCAATTGCATTAAGGATTACAAAATTAAAAAGTGTATTACTAACCATTAAAACGTAAGCTCTGCATCCAATAAGTGTCGCGCGAAAATGCGTCGGTGCTTTTAACGGCGAACTTAACTCTTAACTTATCACGACGAAACCTGCACGGAAAGTCAATAGAGCAAAGCAATAATGAGCTCAGCCATAAGGAAAGGGCAGATTTTGCGGGCGCGAGTTGTCTAATTGACAATTAACAAAACGAGATTAAGGCAAAATATGCAAGAGAATGAGAGAAACTAGGAGGATGGAATTGCTAGGAGGTCCGTTTGTTTGTTGGGCAGCTCGAGTGGGTGTGCGACCGGGCATACCTAGGGACGGCGGCCCAATCGGCCTTCTTCGTCGGCAGCATCGTCGGTGGCCTCATATTCGGCTACATAGCCGATCATTACGGTCGACTTCCCGCCCTCATTGCTTGCAATAGCGTCGGCTTCTTCGCCTCCATCGCAACCGCCTTCTGCAACAGCTTCTGGACATTCGCCCTCGCTCGATTTATCGTCGGCACATCGTTCGATAACTGCTTCAATATCATCTTCATCATCGGTACGTATTTATTATGCGCTTCGGGACTCATTGCCAATGCTTTTTTTGTTCTTCGATTTGCTCTGTAGCGCAAAGCTTTTGTCCGGGACAGAGAAAAGCGCACAGGGAATTGAAAAGATCGGAAGCACTTGAGCGCCGGAGGTTACGCTGGGTTGACCGAGTAGGGGCAACATAATATGCCTTAAAAGGGGCAGACTTTAATATGGAAAGAATTAATTTGTTCAAACGCTTAGAATACAATGTCAATAAGTAATATAATGAATGCCCTCCCTCGCTTAAAATGCTCAATATGTAAAATTCAATTGATGTTATGAATTTTAATGACAATAAGCTATTTAGCCATTTATTTCAACAGAGTGTTTATCGCTTAAATTTCATACGTCTAGCGCTAATTGCAATGAATCGAAGCAAAGGATAAAAATTAATTGCATTGAAGCGCGCTTTAGGCCGGAATATATTAACATTGATTCTACGAATTTTCAATATTATTCGATCAAATTAATTTCATGTAAATCAATTCAAATCGAAGACAACGATAAGAAAGAAAAAGTGTCTTAAATGTAATATGAAAACTTATGAAAACATTTTTATAATTATACGAATGAATGGGACAAATATATTGTAATAAACAAAAAAAAAAAAAAAAAAAAAAGTTGTTTTCCTGCAGTATTGTGCATTATGCATAAAATGTAGTCGAGTAACTAATTTTTTTATAACAGTTACTACTATATTCTATATTACAGACACGGGCGCGCGCGTGCGTGCTCACACACACGCGTATATATTTGAATTTTAATAATTGACGTGTTTTCATTCGTTTATGATGTAAAGATAAGAAACAAACGCAAAAAAAAAGAAGAATATTGTCTAAAAATAATGGTAATAGATAATTGAGCATTAATAATAATAAAGTTACTTTGCAATTTTTCAGCACGAAGAACGTCAGTTATATTATTTTTATTTTTTACTTAATTAAATTTCTTTACCATCGATTTACCTATTTTTGTTTCTAACTATCGTATTTATTTTAAAACTGCACACAATACGTTCATTATGGCTTATATTTCGTTGAAAAAATTAACGATTTACTTTAATCACAATTTTCCTTTCTCGTGCTTCTTTATTTTCGTTTGGCACTACGTTCAGTAATCGAATACGTGGGGCCAAAGTACAGAACCCTAATGGCGAATATGTCCTTCGGAATATATTTTGCGTTCGCCGCCAGCATATTGCCTTGGATCGCCTATTGGACAGCGAATTGGAAAATTTTGAGCGTCATCAGTGCGCTTCCCCTCGTAGTCGCTTTCATCACCCCGTGGATTGTTCCCGAGAGTGCCAGGTATTTATTTATTGTCGATTGATTTAAAATTATTTGCATTATTGGCAGATATCGATTAAGATGCTTTAGAAAATCACTATCTCATCCAATCTCTAGCCACGTATTAACTAATTTACACATTGGAAGAATGGAAATCCTATTTCTTGGATTACAGAGTACGTTTATTACACACGTGTTTTGTATTTATGTTGAATCAATATAATAAATAATGCTTTTAATAATTCAACAAACCTTGCGACATAATGTTTAATAAAGAAAACCTTTATCGAGTGCGTTGAAAAAAATCACTTTGCGCGTATGGCCTTTACTTTTGTCAAATGCCTATATAATTATCAATTAGATATTAACATATACAATACAACTCTCTATTAAACAATCAAAAGTGTTCGTTTGTATTGATAAGAATTTCGACGATTCCCTCGTCGTCTAATCGAGTGGATTAATTTTTGAAAAGCAAAATACTCAAGTTTACGATTTATATATTTTCCAGACGTGCCGGTGTAAAAAAGAAAAAACAACAAAAACAAAAAAAGAATAAAACAAAAAAGAAAAAACAAAAAAAAAAAAAAACAAAGTAACTTGAATAGGCCGAAATTATTAATGTAATGATTTGTAGCCGATTAACCCAACGAATCAATGTCATGAAAAAGTTAGCCGAGTTTCTCTATTTGCCTTAATCAACGATTTTCAAATCAACATCCCTTTAAAATTGTATTCTATTGCCACCACCAGATGGTATATAACAAACGGCCGCGTGGACAAAGCCGTGGAGATGCTGAAGAGGTTCGAGAAAGTTAACAAGAAGACCGTCGAGCCCGAAGTTTACGAGGAATTCGAGAAGAGCTGCAACACAATGATCAGCAAGGACAAGTCCCACAACAACTACACGGTTCTCGACTTGTTCAAATTGCCGAGGCTCGGGCGTATCACAGTCGTCCTCATCATTTACTGGCGAGTGTCTGCACTTATTTTATACTCACGGCTTCGCGTCTTTGACCAATAGCTGCTGCGAGCCATGACAATCCTCTTTTATTACATGTGACCTGTAATTGTAAGAAAATCGATCCGCTCTCTTCTCGCGCATAATAATTTGTCTTTGATAACGTATATATTAAAAGACCAAAACAAAACAAAACAAAACAACAACAAAAAAAAAAACAAAAAAAAAAACAAAAAAAAAAACAAAAAAAAAATGATGGTTTACATTGCCTTGCTTTGTAGCTTTGTAGTACGTCAGGAGACTTGTAATAACTTGAAATTTTAACGATTGTTTATTGTATAATCAATTAGTTACGATTAGATAATTAACAATTGATCGGCGACTGTAGCTATTATTCGAGTGAAGCGAAGCATTTCATTATTATACTTGACGTGTGTGATTTTTCTTTTATATACAAATTATATAAAATATACGAAATATTAATGAAAATTTTTATAGGTCAAATATTGTGCAGTTTGATAAAGTAATGGTAATAAATACTACTACTACTACTACTACTACTACTACTACTACTACTACTACTACTACTACTACTACTACTACTACTACTACTACTACTACTATTGTTATTATTATTATTATTAGTGTCTAAATGCATACTGTTTACGGTTCAAGTGTCATCGAGTAAGAAAGTCGATTTAGTAATTGCTTATATACTTACTTACTTCGTCCTTTAATATTATTTTCATTTACATTATCAAGAAAAAAACAAACGTCAGGAGGTTAAATTTTTCCGTTTTAGCGAGGCCACGAATACAATATACAAAATAAATCCTAATTACAACACAACAAAATTATCTATACGCATTTGCTTGTTCCTCCTCTCATCATTCTCCATAGAGATACGAATGAAAAGTCATCGCTCTACTGGACTAAAAAAAAAAAGTGCCTCGTCTGGAAGCGTGGAGAGCCCTCGATATCTGCAGTCCTTGTACGGACAACTCGAAATTCACAAATCGATTAATGTTCTTCCTTTTTTTTTTTTTTATTGTCAGGCTACTCATTATCCTAGTATTCGACGGGCACGTGTGGAATATGAAGCTATTACATCCGGACGTGTTTACGTCGTTCTCGTTGGCCTCGATAACCGAACTGCCCGCGGCCATAATCCTAGCTCTCTTCCTGGACAGATGGGGTCGACGTTGGATGGGCTTCTTCTCCATGATCATCTGCGGCATCTTCTCTCTCGCCGCGCTCGCCTTGCCCAAAGGTGCGTACGCAAAATATCCAAACTCATTAACATTCATACGCCGACATTCAAACGACTATTTACGAGATTATTTACGATTGTCAATGATTTTCAATGCACATGCGGACGTCTCTCACTCCGACATATCCAGTAATTTTAACTTGGATCGATCTCTCATTATTTCGAAAGAAAGCCTGGTTATTTCATCTCCTTTCCTTATTCGTCATTACTTCACATTACTCCTAGCCTCGCTATATACTTGTACATTAGGTATGATGTAGAAGAATGACGCACTTCTTTCATAATTCTAGGGTACAAACATTGGCTCATTCAACGCGCATTGCTCTACGCAGATTTTTAAACAATGAGACTTTTAGAATTATTGTATTATTTCATTAAAGTGAAGAAACTGCGATACATATGTATATAGTGATTAATTTCATGGCGGAAAAGTTTAAACATTATCGTGAAATAAAATAGGAAGATTATAAGTAGTAGTCGATATTTCCAGTAATAGTAAGTTCAATTAGCAATTAATCTGTTGCAAATTGCAATTAATAAGGAGATTCACGATCAATCGAACAAATTATACATAAATGAAAATTTTAATATTTTCCCAGTTCACGTTGCCATTCCTATCCTACATTAATCATTAAATCCACTAATCATTTCGTCCTTAACAACATAAATAACTTTCCTCCATGTGCGTCCCGTCCCAACAATTAGGGCTAATCCGCGGTATCCCCCCTCCCCTCCCCACCCTCACCTTGACAATCACTCTGTGCCCCGTTTTAATAATAACTATGGGGATGACGTTGCAGGTGCACCGGCAATGTCCATGGCGATCCTCGCTCGCCTTGGCGTCAACATCGCCGCCAACATTGGCTTCCAGTATGCCGCGGAAATGCTGCCGACGGTCGTGCGCGCCCAGGGCGTGTCACTCATCCACATTATCGGCTACTTCGCCCACATTATCGGGCCTTACGTTGTGTACTTGGTGAGTCGAATGGGACCGAACACGACGACCATAAGCATCGCGCGCATTACCAATGATTCGAAGCGAGATTTTTAAAACCTCGATCGATTAACGAATTGCAATGCTCGTTTCTCGTACATCGATCGGCTTTACAATTATCCATCGGCCAATTGACCCGAGCATTAATCATCAAGAATTTTTAGCCAATACTTTATTACGCTGATTTATTTATTTTTTTTTGTTTTTTGTTTCCTTCTTTCTTTCTTTCATTCTCTTTCGAACTTTGTTTGATAAATAGAGTGCAGTTACGTGTTGCACATCGATTCTTGCAACTTAAAATTCGATAGTCATAATAATTTTAATAAATCCGAATAAGAGTTAGTAAAAATGAAAAGAACAAGATGTATTAAGGTAAGGAGAAAAGTTTGATGCATTAAGTATAATTCGCAAAAGACTCGCGCGCGCTTATTATATAAAAAATTAAAAAGCATTGGTATAAAACGAATTGTAATTATCGTGAAAAGATGAAAATGTAATTTACTTTGGCGTTCGAGCGACGGTGGCAACGTCGTCGTACTGATTCTACCATTAGCTGGCGATTTTAATGATTCCGGGATGCTTGCAGGCAAAGGCTCATGAGTCGCTGCCTCTCATAGTCCTTGGCAGTCTATCCATTATCGACGCCTCGCTCACGCTTACTTTACCGGAAACATTGGACCAGGAACTTCCCGAGACGCTCGACGAGGGCAACGAGTTTGGCCGGGAGCAGAGCTTCTGGTGGATTCCCTGTGTAAAAACGTAAGCACACCGACATTATGTTGCTATGTGCATAAGGAATAAATAAATTCATCAAAGAACGATTGTTCACACCGTCTCTCATATATTTTAGGGCCAACATATTTGTTTTCGATAAGCAATGAAAATATAATTTCATCTGTTTTTTTTTTTTTTTTTTTTTTTTTTTTTTTTTTTCCCTCTATTTAAATTATGGCGCTCCGTAGTTTGCCGATAATATCGTATCGGGTCGAATGATTTCTGATTGTAATTCTTGGAATTTATTAGTTATTGAAATTCAACACTCGCTCGGTTATTTTAACTTTCAATTTTTATAAATATTATTCCGGATCGGCGGTTAATCTTATTAAGAACTGAAATTATATTTTTGATGTATCCGTGGTAATGTCAGCGTTAACGGCCCCATAATATATGATTATACATTACACAATGAATTTAATGTCTCGATTTTCTGATTAATAATTTTAAAAAGATTTTTACAATTTAAATATTATTCGACATATTCCGTTTTATAATAATATTTATTATTATACGATGTGCCATGTACATTAATAATTATTTCATTTATTATTCAGTATAGTCGGATGAACTATTTGCTATGAGTATCTCGACTAAAGAAATAATTAATTATAATTTAAAATTTTCTACCTCAATTACCAGCCAGTATTTATAATGCGAAATTTTGTTTATTTTACTTGAAGTGTTAAAACGGTATCGAATTTCCATTATTAGCGTTACGTACATTAGCCACAATACACGTTTGAGATAAAGAATTTCAGTATAAATTGATTTTCTTTATAAAATCAAAATTATACGTATAATCAGTAATTGTTTCATTAAATGTATAATTAAATGACATAATTAATAAATGTATAATTATTTTAAAAACTTATAATTCTTATACGTGTTAAGTTGGACTTTATTCAGTCATAGAATCGTGTAATTTAAAAATTTTCTTTTGTTTTTAAATTTATTGTACCGATAACATTACTCGTTGTACTCGCAGATCACCAGAGAAGAAGAAGAAATACAGAAGGAAGCTCGGCGCCACGAATGCCGGCTTCAATCCCGGTAGCTTACAGAGGATCGAGTCGACGAGATTATAACAAAAAATATGTCCTGTCTGTAACATATGCATTCGACGCGTATATGCAGCTCTGCGAATATTCTCAGCTAATGCAAACATGCATCGGCGGATCCTCGAAATCTCCTTCTTTCAAAAGTGGGATATAAAATATGAAGGAACATTGAAGCGAGTGCAGTGGCACTCGGCTATATTTTTCTCGTATGAGTTGTGAGTTACAAATTCACGTATGATTCGTGTTCTCGCATTTATATACGAGGAAATTTTACGTAAGAACGGTATGAAAAAGACAAGAGTGTCGAATTTTTAAAGTTATAACCAAAGGATAGGAGGAAACGGTATTAAATAATCGATAATGAAATTAACAACACTAGTGAAAGAGACCAACAGGATATGAAAAATAAATAGGCTTACTGTGATTTATAGATTTTCTTTTCTTTTTTTTTTCTCTATTTCGTTTTTGTGTTTTTTTTTTTGGT